GGTACTACATTTATATAAATGCAAAGTTAGTGTGTAGTGTATAAATATACACAGGTAAGCAGTAAGAGTGCCTTAGGGGTAAGATGCCAGAGATAAAAGATACAGGAGACACAGTGCGATTCAGAAAACTCCAAAGAATCAATGATAAAATACACTGAGGAAACAAACCTTACAAAAAATTAATATACACACAAAATTAAAACCTTGACTAGCTGCAGTCCTTACAGTGTGATGCTTTTGCTTTTCTTATGTGTCTCTCTAATACAAGTCAACAAAGTAACTGATACTCTAGTTTATAAGATTAAGAAGCGACACAGGACTGATGGCCAAGTGAACCACATCCTTATGGTCCTCACAACCCATCACTGTTGCTAAAAGGGGCACATCTGTCGAACCCCAAGGACTCAGAGTTCTGGACAGAGTTGCCAAAGCCCAGTGAGAGAAGGCGGCCCTCGGCACAAGCCTGCAAGCTCCCAGCTTGGAGAACAGGTGATGGGAGGTGAAGCATGGCGAGGGACAGAGCCAGGGTGATGACAATGAGCACTAGAGAAGGGACAGGAGCACCAAAGCCTGAGGGTCTTGCCAACCACTGGGCTCCAGGAGGAATTCTCCAGACAAAGAGCCCCACGTTTTCCCTTAGAGCCATCGAGCTTCACTGCATGGCTGATTCCTGTCACATTGGCCCTGGACATTTTGACTAACTGGTTAACAACCCTTCCCTTTAGTGATATGGCTCCCCAGGAGGCATTTAAGGTTCTCTATTGTTGTCCTCATAGGCTAACCAAGACCCAGCTAACATAGGTAAAGGACTTTCCTAAAAGCAGAAGCGGCCAACCCTGCGTCTCAGTTACTTGGGGGCTGAGGCAGGTGGATCTCAAGCTCAGCCTGAGGAACTTAGCAAGACCCTGCCTGTCTCATATAAAAAGGAGAGAGGATGGCTGGGGGTGTGGCACAGTGTAAAGGCCTAGATTCAGTCTCTCACTCAGAAAAAAAATAAAAAAACAGAGCCTCTTTCCTAACAGAATAACAAACAAGGAAATAATCCCAGAAGGCAACATGAATCAGAGGGAAGACAGTCCGGTCTCTCCGCTGAGAGTGCACAGTGGGAGTCAGTCTTTCTTGCCTCCTGTCTTTCCCCATGTGAAATGCCGCCTCCAGCACACCCCAGGCTCCCGGCCCAGACAGCATAGCCTCCTCAAAGTCAGGCCGTGAGAGGGGGCAAACACTCACCCCAGTCTGGAGTCTCAACAGCAGCTTCTCCCCAGATGGGTGGAAACAGGGCAGCATCCTGCTCTTCACTCTGGCCATTTTCAACAAGGCAAAGCCGAGTGCCCCAACATGGCCAGTGCACACAGGAATGATGAACGCGTCAATGCAGCTGATGCAAGGATGCGTTAACAACAACAGGAATTTGAGAAAGGAGATGCCTGATCAAGGAAGGAAGGGCGACAGGGAGGGAGGAACGAAGGGAGGGCATAAGGAAAAAATGCAAGAAGGGGAGGAAAGAAGGGAACAACAGAAGGAAAACAAACTCAAACTGGGAAATGGTCAACTTGAGGTGCAAAACAGACCCAGGGAGAGATGCACACCAGACAAAGGTTAATCTGAAGCTTATAAGAGAGTTTGACCTTGGAGATTTTTTTTTAAAGGAAGAAAAAAAGGAAGAGAAGGAAAGAAAAAATAACAGGTAAAAAGCACAGAAATTCTGGAACTATGTGAAAAAGTAGCGAAAGAAGAAAGGTGAGGGGAAGGAAGCTGGAAGCTTCAGAATGCCCCTGCTATGCTGAGCGTCAGGTGGCACACAGGAAAAAGAGGCATTGGCAAGGGAGAGCAGAAGGAGAAGGCACAGCGACAAAGGTGGTGCAAAAGATGCATCTGGGAAAGAGGGCGGTGGACACCGTGCACACTGCGGCAGACGGACAGATGGGAGCCCGACTACTAGGGTCAGACCGGACAAAGGCAAGGATCAGCAAATGGAGCTCAGACACAAGCCCTGCACTCAGGGAGGCGACAAGTGGGGACAAAGAGAGCCAGAGATCACAGAGTCCCTAAGCACAGGTCCTGGCCCATCCCCAGCAGCAGGAACAGCTCCCAGAATGCAACAGGCACTTGGTGAGTCCCAGTTTATCACTAATGCTGTTCTTTGATTAAAGAAAGGAATTAGAAAGTCTCTCTAGGACATAAGAGAGAATGAAGGGACAGACTGGTTCCCACACGTGTAATTCCCATGTATGTGTTTCCTAAAGGTGACCTGGTTTTAAGATCTGGTTGGAAGTAAAAGCTGTAGACACAGCTCACACCACTGGAAGCTGGGGGTCTTGTCCAGAGGCTGATGTCAGCCTTTGGGGCAAGAATGTAAGGAAAGAGATCTTTTAGGTCACACACAGAACACGGAGGAAACCCTGAGTGTCTGCAGACTGCAAATCCCTCCCTGTTCGGACCATGAATGTACCCAGAGAGAAAAAGCAGCTCCTGAGAGGTGGGCTTTCCCCCTTACAGGGTACACCCCAGGGACCCTAAGACCTCTCATGAGCCCCACTCTTAAAAGTTCCACCACCTCCTAAAAGTGGCCAGCTGGGGACCAAGGCATGAACATGTGGCTTTGGGAGATACTTATCCAAACCACAGCAAAAGTCACAGAAAGCCTCAGGGGCCATTTATTTCAGGCTGAAAGCGATTCCTGCACTTTAGGTTCACCTCCTGTGTCCCCTCATATTTAAAAATCTCTAGAAAGTTCCAGCCTGGTCACAAGAACACAAAAGGGTCCAACTAGCACCTGAGGAGAGGAAGGTGGTGAGTGCAGTGGCTACAGCATGAGCAGCAGTGAGAGGGAAGGAACCCCAAAAGGAACGGGGCGGCAGAGGAAGCACTAATGCTTCACCGCCATTTCAAAACATCAAGGTATTATTCTGTCCTGGGAACTCTGGAAATATTTTTTTCCTGCTATTTTTTCATTTTGTTTTTGTTTCATTTTGACAGAAGATACTGGAGTGGAGATGAGGGCCAACGGGAAAATTGATGGCATGCAAGAAAAAAGATAAAGATAGGAAGAATCTGCACAGTATAATTAAAGAGAACCTTGGAAGAAAGAAGAGGCTATGAAATCCAAAGACTAAGATTTTTGTAAAGCAATATAAAGAATGAGGGAGTGAATGACATGGAAAACACTCCTTTGAGGCCCACCTCGCAATTAAGGGGCAGAATCAGGTAGGGGGCCAGGGATACGGAAAGTCCACACAGCTTCTGCCAGTCTTGAGAAGCTAGATCCTCAGAATGTCCCCGAATGCTAATCAGTACAATTTAGTGTCACCTGCAGCAAGACTTGGCAACCTGGAAAGATTCTTTCAGTTTTTGGAACTACACGTGTACCAAGTTTATCTCACTGGTCCACCACATATCAAGTCATAATAATAGGACACATTCACTTATGCCTTGTGGCAGACTGTGGAAGCAACCCTAAAGACAGGTAACAATAAAATTCTAATTATTCATTCTATCATTCTCCTTCAGATGGATTCAGGTTATACTAAACTCATATCAAGATTCTTAAGGGAATAAATCTAGATGGAATAAATCTTGGAAATCCCTTCATCTAACCTCTCATCTATTAGGATTTCTTTGTCAAAAATCTATGTCAGAAACCATCCTTGGACACTGGGCCTCCACAGGCTCCTCTCTACACCTCAGCCTCCCTTGCAGGACCCCGAGGTCGCCACGCTGGGCAGTTTGATGATGCTCTGGGTAGTTTGATGTTGGTGGGTTTAATGCAAGCCACTCCCAGGTCTGGCTCCATCTTACGTGCAGGATGACTAGCCCATTTATATCACAAGAGATGCCGACTGAGAGATAAACACGCTTGGACAGTGCTAGTCAGAGATTTTTGTGGCTCTATCCAGCACCAAGTTTTAATTAATTTTCCAGCCATCTTTTAATAATCTAGTGAAACACACTAGAGAAATGACTGCCGATTACTGCTCCACACATACCCAAAGGACAAAAAGTTGGCAGCAATCATGAAATCTATTTTCGCATTATAGGAACACTTCATTTATCAAAAAGTTATTACTAAAGACATAATTTACAAAGCTAAGCACTCGACCCACAACTGAGAACCAGAAAGCCTGCAGTAGAGGCTGGAACACACTCCAGGCTGGGAGTTGAATAAAGCTTTAAGTTTAGAGCTTCCTTCACCCCACTCCCAGGCAGCTTCTACTGACTCAGGTTGTCCTGGAATAAATAAATCAGTCTTGGAAATCTGGTCCTCCAACACCAAGTATGAGATAAAAAACTAGAAGCAATATGGATAGAAGGCTAGCAGGGACCAGAACACAACATTCCATCTAGCAAGGAGAGAGCTGGAGAACTCCAAAAAGTGACACAACCAAATCAAAAGGCAAAGAGAGAGACCTGTTTTATAAAGGACAATCGAGCCCCAGAGCTCCTGGGAGTCCTGGGCACCTCTCACTGATTTCAGTGATTTGAAACCTTCAGCCGATCTTTCCAAGTGTCTCAAAACAATCCCACCCGCCATTGAGAGACATACACTGAGTCCTCTGAAAACACCACCAACTTGGACAGCCTTCTGCCTGGGACACCACATGAAGGTGCTAAATGGTACATTTTAAAAATTGCCTATTGGATGAGACGTTTACAACGGGGTTATTCGTCCCCAGTGAATCTGGGAAATCCCTTCATCTAACCTCTCATCTATTAGGATTTCTTTGTCAAAAACCTATGTCAGAAACCATCCTTGGACACTGGTCCAACACGAAAGAAACGGGCTTCCATGACAAAAAGCGAAAAGCCAAATGTCCCATGAATGAGAAGTGATGCATTGCCCAAAGCCCTGGCTGAAAGGTAGGGGGATCAGTGCCCTCACCCCATCGCTGAGCATGACTCACAGCCCACTGCTCTGTTTTCTCAGCCAGGACCCAGAGCAGGTTTCCCAGCCAGCCACGAACCCTCTCCACCCCTTCCAGGCCTGGTCTGGACGCACTCACCTGGAGGAAGCAGTGTCCCACTGGGGTGTGCTCTGCCAGGGTGACATTGTACACCTGCCTCTGGAAGATGGGCTCATTGTCATTCACGTCATCCACCGTGATGCTCACCAGGCAGGTGGCAGAGAGTGGGGGCTCCCCGAAGTCCTGGGCCACCACTTTGAGCTCCACGGCTTTCTGGATCTCTCTATCCAGAGTTCGAACGGTGCTGATTACCCCACTGTTGGGATGGATAGCAAAAGACGGCCCACACTCTGTGCCAGACTGCAAAGCCCCTGGGTTGCAGAGAGCTGAGAGCTGGACCAGCGTGTAGCGCAGCCGGGCATGATTCGTGCCAGCCTCGTCGGCGTCTGAGGCGCTGACCCACACCACTGTGGTGCCAGGGGCCACGGCCTCAGACACCGAGGCCCGATAGTGCTCCTGGCTGAAGACCGGCGGCTGGTCATTGAGGTCGGAGATCTGAAGCAGCAGCGTCTCCTGAGTGCTCAGGGGTGGGAACCCCGCATCCACGGCCACTAGTCGCAGTTCGTACAGATCACAGCTTTCTCTGTCCAGGGGCCCCTCCACACAAAGGAAAAACACTCCTGGGGCCCCTCCAGGGCGCAACGCAAAGGCTCCCGCCCCGCCCTCCAAGGCCAGCGAGACGCTGCTGCCTCCACCGAGGCCCACTCCAAGTGTCCCTGCGGCCTCCACTTCCTCCTCCCCGGAGTCACCATCCGCGTCTGACACTGAGACACGGGCCACATAGTCACCAGGCCGGGCGCCCTCCGACACTCGGGCCGCGCCCCCCTCGGTGAGGAACAGTAGGTGAATGTTGGGCCGGTTGTCATTCACGTCCAGCACGGCGACTGACACGCGCACCGTGGCCACCTCGGGCTCTGCGCCCCCATCGCGGGCCTCGACCACCAGCTGGTGCCAGGCTTGCGCCTCGCGGTCCAGGGACCTCCGCACCCGCACCAGGCCACTCAGCTCCTCCACCTCGAAGTAGGCCTCGCTGCCTGCGGCCTCGCCGCCCACCCCCGTCCCGGGCCGCACGCGAAGCCCGTAGCGCACGCGGCCGTTGGGCCCCAGGTCGCGGTCGGTGGCGCGCACGCGACACACCTCGGCGCCCGGCGGCGCGTCCTCGCGCACGGAGGCGCGGTACTCGGCCTGCTCGAACACGGGCGGGTTGTCGTTCTCGTCCAGCACGCGCAGCTGCACCCGCAGGTGGCCGGTACGCCGCGGGCTGCCGCCGTCCCACGCCTCAATCTGCAGCTCGTGCGTTGCCGCCGCCTCCCGGTCCAGGCGCCGCAGCAGCACCAAGTCCAGGGGCTCCAGGGGCGACGGCGGAGGTCCCGGTGTCCCGTAGCGCAGCCGGAACAAGGGCCCCGCGGGGTCCTCGGGCGGCTCAGGAGGGGGCAGCAAGGTGTAGCCCTGGGTGCTGAACCGCCCGGCGTCCAGGTCCTGCGCCCCCGGCAGGCGGAAGGCGGTGCCCGGAGGGCTGAGCTCCGAGACGTCGAGCTGCAACGTGTCTCGCGGAAAGCGGGGCGCGTGGTCGTTCACGTCGTTGACGCGGATCTCCACCTGCACCACGGCGCCCCGCAGCGTGGCAGCCACGAAGCTGTAGCGGTCCCTCCGCTCGCGGTCCAGGCGCCGCGCTGTGCGGATGACGCCAGTGTCCGGGTGCACGTGGAAGTCGTCCAGCAGAGGGGAGTCATCTGAGTCCTCGGACAGGAAGAAGCCACCCGCCTCCTGCTGCTGCTGCGCGGGCAGCCCGGCGCGAAGGTCCCCGACCAGCGTGTCTGGGGGAAGCCCCTCGTCCACGGAGAGGCTGAGGTTCAATACTTGAGCGGATGAGCCCGAGACAGCCCACAGCCACGCGTGCACCAGCAGCCCGAGCATGCAGCGCCGCGCCCTGGCGCCACAGCCCCGCCACCCGCGGGGGGATCCTGTCCTCCCGGGGAACAGGAGGCGCTCGGGGACCCGGACCCCCAGCCGCGGACGCCGCGCGCCCATCCTCCGCCCGGAAGGACTCCTCTGGCTGCCAGCTCTTGGGGAAGCCTCCTGGATAACTGTCGGCTTGTGGCGGAGCTCGGAGAAATCTAGGAGCCACTTCAGAGTCAGAGCCCTGGAAGGAGAGACTTTGGCAAGCAAACCCGCAGAGCCGGGAGTTCCCGGGGTGACATCTGCAACTGGTGCGCGGCCTCTTCCCGCGGCGCCGCAGACGGGGGAGCTGTCGCCGCCTCTGCCGGGCCACTACCTCCTCTGCCCCTGGATTCTTTTACACAGAGTCTCATCTCTTTTTCTCTCTCCTTCTATTCCTTTTGCATCTGTTCCTGGTTCTGTTCGGCTGGCTGTTTCCCACTAGTAAAGTCAGGTGCATTATTTCTTTTGCCAAAAAGGAGTAAAGCATTGAAAGCGCGCACAGAGGAGAGGCTGGGACCAGCAAGGAGGGTGGAGCGCGGGCGGGGCCGGGGCCGGGAGGGCGGGAGCGCGGCTCGCGCAGTGCTGCGGCCGGGTGGGCCACTCCGGGGACGGGCGCCGAGGACTGCGCAGCTGCCCTGGCTCGGCCCCCCGGCCCTCCCCGCGCGTGACGCGGCGCCCACGAGGGCGCACTCCAACCTGCGAGCCGCGGCTCTGCAGCAGGGCGGAGGAGGAGCTGAAGGGAAAGGGCCGGGAGACCCGCACGGGCAGGCGGTGCAGGCGGGGGCAGAGAGGTGCAGGTGGGGGCAGGGAGGCAGGCGAGCAACCCTGGCTGTCCTCTGCGGTAACCTCTCCGAGGTCCCTCCCGCGGGCCTGAGAGCGTCCGGGCTGAATGGAGGAGATGGGGGTTAGGATCACTTCAGGGAGCCAAACTAGTGTCCTTCCTTTGACCAGAAAGACTGATCCCCAGTGGAAGGACAGATGGAATCTAAAGCCCGTGAACAGCTGGGGCCAGGATGGCTGCACAGGAGGGAGGAGGCGGAACTTGGAAAATCCTTCTACACAGCCCGAGAAATCTGCCACGCACATGGTGCAGAACCCGCTTTATTAACGCCAAGCTCCTACATAGTGATGAGCGACAGGCTAGGTTGTCACTGCCCTCTACGACCAACAATGAGGACAACAGTAGATTGGGCTCGCTTTTTCTCTGTAGGCAGCGCCATGGTAACGTTTCCTGGATGTTTTGTGATGCTAAGTTGGGGGGAGAAAGACCCCAGTGGCGAGACCCCACCAAGCTCCAAGCAACCCCAAGCTTCAAAGTTTGCAGGCAGAGCCACCACCAACAGTCCAACCCAAAACTGGCTTCCGTCCCAGGTGTCCCTTAAGTTATACATAATAATTGGACAAAACTGATTTGATAAATGGCCTCCAAAACGGACGCTTAGCCTCAGAAGAAAGAGCTGTGCCCTCTTAAGGACGGCTGGCCATATTTAGCAAATGATTTCTGCAGTTCCGCGTTTCGTCCAGAGAGAAGCATTAATTTCCTAGAATACTGTTCTGCTCTTTAGGAGGGAGGAGCAGAAGCCCTCCGGAATGGATACTTGTCGCACCAGTAAATGATATTTTATATTCAGTGGTGTAGATATCATTTCTAATCCATAGCCACACTATACCTCTGACAAAATAATGACACAATTTACTTCGTAGCAGATATGTGGCATGGCAATGGAGTTATTAAAATAAATCCAGCTTCCTTTTACCAATGAAGGCCCTTTAACCATTAGGAAATGTCCATGAGTCTTCAGTCTTTCTCTGCTCTGTCTCTGTTAGTAAGGCGTCTCCTGGCCTCCAAGCTTGCCCCTTTCTGTATAAGCGATTTTGCACCAAGCATCTTGATTGACATTTTTAACGCTAAAGGAAGTCATCTTACCCCCTGCTCAGAACCTGTGGTGTAATTCCATTATTTCTGAATGGTAATTCAGACTCCTTCCTCAAGAACATTATACACACTTGAATTATAAAACCAACAGACCCACAGGAAAATAGAAATTTGAACTACCTAACTTTCTGTTGGTTTCTAAACTAATTCATTGTTTACAAAGAACCTGAGGACCTTGTCACTTGCAGGGACTGTGGTGCCGGCCTTGCTGTCTTCAAACTGATTTGTATCTGATCTGTGAGAGCTTCCCACACCTGGGTCATGGGTCAAGGGTTAGGGTTAGGGCTGGGTCTCGGACCCACTGTCACTCAGGTCTTGACTGGGATCCCTGCTGCTCAGAAGTCTTACTTGGCCGCCCTATCTCAATGCCTGAGTCATAAACCCTTTCACCTCATGCTGTATTTCATCTGTGTCGTTTTCCAGTACCTGATGGTATAACCTGCCTTATTCATCTTTTTTATTCAGTTACTAGAATCTCAGTCTCCTTTCATGGACTTGAAGCACAGCTTTATTCTAAAACAGAGTGTGTCTCTTTTCACTGTGTTTGTTTACGAGGTGCCTGGTGATGGGTGAGTGGATAAATAAGTCTGTTAGGGTAGAGGTCTACAGCTGTAACTAAGAATTCATGGGCCAAGGCCTCCTTTGTTATATTGAATTCTATCACAACTACCATACTCGGTTTAATCATCCAATGGGGTGTCTTGGTCTATTTTTGAGCTGCTTCAACTTATGTTGGAAACTATCATTTTCAAATGTTTGCTGGAGGCTAAATGAAAAAGAAAAAACAGGGTCGTTTTCTGCATCTTTCATTAACACAGCCTTTGTAAACAGTAGTTGTCTTTAGAAGCAAATGGAAAGCCAGGCACTTGAAACACCTGTTTATTCCTGTGAGCCCTTTGGCTTTATAATTAAGCATATTAAATTTAAATTCTCCTGCCCACTTTACAGTGCCCTACCTGCATTGATTGATTGATTGCCAAGAGCAGCATTCTAGAATTGATAGTTCAGTTTTGTAAAGAAATATGCAAATGAAAAGTAATGTTTGATGATATAGGCACCAGCAGCCCACAAACAACAGAACTGAGTCAACAGAACTTGAGAAAAACATTAGAATGTAAGTGACAATAACTTGGGCTTTGAATACTGTGTAATTTGGGGTAGATTACTCACATTTTGTGAAGTTTCTGTTTCCTTTAAATTAGAGATGATATATCTAATTTCTGAGGCTGTTATGAGCCTCATGTAAAGTGTCAGATGGAATTTGGTAAATACTGCTTCTTTTACTTTGTGTGATGAAATATTTTAGGGGCGAGTTGTTTTAGGATTCTCAGTGATATCACACTCTGACTTCTTAGCCTCCAAGGTGTGTGAAGAAGGTAGATGTAACATTTTCACAGTCCTGAATAGAAGCTATTCTGGGCAGAGGGTTCACACCAGAGCCTCACATGATGTCATGTGATTTCAGCAACTCAGGTAGTCCTCAGTTCTGTAACAGTTGAATAAATAGTTACCGTATTAGTGTTCCTCACAGGGACAAAACACCTGACATAAACAACTTAAAAAGCTTGACATGGTGATGGGTGCCTATGACCCCAGCATTCTGACCACCTAAGGCAGGAAGATCACAGGTTCAAAGCCATCCTGGGCAACTCGGAGACACAGGGAGGCTGTCTTAACCTAAAAACTAAAAAGAGCTGATGGTATAATTTAGTGCAAAGGCCCTGAGATCAACCCCCAGTACTGGGGAGAGGGGTTTAAAGGAAAGAAGAGGGTTTTTTGGCTCTCGGTTTCAGAGGTTTCAGTCCATAACTGGCTGCTCCAAAGAGGAAACATCATGGCACAGGGACATGATGCAAAGGGCTCCAGGAAGCAGACACAACAGGAAGAAGAGCAGGGACCAGGGGGCAAATGCAGTCTCCAAGGTCATGCCCCCGTGGGCCACCTAGATGCATCCAAAAATGTGCTGGACACCCCCAGGTGTCTCTCACGTCAATCAAGTGGACAGTCAAAATTAACTATTGCAGTTACTGAGTGCTCAGTGCAACGTTAAGGTCACCTCATGTCAACCCCTTAAGAAAGGAAGAATGATCATGCTCTTGGTGAAGAAGTCTGAGGTTGAGCTGCATACAACATGGCCAAGTCACACAGGTAGTAATGGCTGGAAAAGAACCTGAACACAGAAAGTCTGTTCCAGTGTCCACGGTCTTCTCTACACACTCACTGAGTTCTCAACTTGTCACTTATTTTCTCCGTGATGGTGAGGGGAGGGGAGTGCTGAGGGTTGAACCCAGGGCTTTCACACTGAGCTGCAGCCCTAGGCTTTATTAGCACCTGCCCTGTTTTTGAGACAGAGTTGCATAAGAAGCTGGGCTCTACCTTGAATCCTTCTGCCTTAGCCTCCCAGAGAGTTGGAGTTACAGGAGGAGTGTGTCTCCATACCCAGCGTTGATGGTTTTCCTTAAAGAGTTTCTGCTCTGAACTCTTACTGAAATCAGGGCACTCAGGTAGTAGGGCTGGAAAAGAGAGGAAACTTGCAGGAAGAGAAGCCAGGATAGATAGCATGCTTGTGGGTGTGATGGGGAGTACAGGCACTGGTCAGGACTACTTGAGAACACAGCAAAAAGAAATGGACTAAATGATACTTCAGTGCAGAGGAAGAGCTTATGAGATATCTTGAAGGGGTTTGAACTGAACCTAATAGCATGCAGCGCTTGTGACAGTTTCATTTTATATGTCCAGGTGGCTGGGCTGGGTTGCCCTGTTGCTGGGACAGTCACCAGTCTGGATGTTGCCATGGAGGCATGCTGTAGGTGGGAGGGTAGTCAAGGTGATTACCCTTTGTAACGTGGATGGGCATCAGCCAGTCCATCAAAGTCCTCCAGAGCAAAAACGGAGATTTCCTGCAGAAGACCATCTTGCCTAAAGGCTATAATGTAGGAATCATGCCTTTGTTCCCAGTGCATCAAACTGCCTGTTATCCAGCTTCCTGCCAGTGAAACAAAATATCTAAGATAATTAACTAAATAGAGCTTTAGAGGTTTCAAACCCTGATCAGTACGTCTCATTGCTTTGGCCCAAGGTGACACATCACCATGGAGTGCATGGAAGTGCAAAACTGCTCAACACGTACTTAGGGAAGCAAAGAAGAGGAAGTGACCAGGGTCCCACGGTACCTTCAGGGTCATCCTCCTAGTGTTCCAAAGTGCTCCCACCAAGCCCCACTTCCTGAAGACTCGACTGCCTCCGATAGCACCAACCAGGGGA